AAATTAAGAAATTGAGCCCCTCAAAACCTTAAATCTAAGAAATCGCGACCCTCATTTTCTTAATTTGGTGTTCTTCTAAATCGGGTCATTTTTTATCAATTGGGAGAAGAATTGGACCATCTCTCATCAGTTCTATACGGGGCCTGGCCAGTTCTATTCAATTCATCATGAGGCTGCTCTGGGTGATCATCACCTACATGATGCTTGTGCTCATTGTCTTTGCGGGTTCTCAGGGCAGGAGCGATGTGGATAACTTCGAGCCACAGACGCATTTGGCGTCGATTGGGGCAGCCATTTCCGGCAGCTGTAATTACGGCTAACCAGACCCGGGGAAGACGTGCGTCCAGGTCATCCTTTGAGGTGTGGCTGCATGGAGCGCTGCCATGATCGGTGGTTTCAGACACAAATGGGGAAGGCTTCTGCGCAGACACGTGCGGAATCGGCCCGGACGTTTGCCAATGCTTCTTCGAGAACCAGGGGGCCCACTTCACCGAGTTCTTTCAGCATGGGTCTGCCAGCGCTCGCAGGGCAGCGCTGCAATCAGATGAGCTGCGTGGAGGTGGCGGTGCTTTGGCCGCAAAAGTCACTTCAAGGCAGCGTGGCGAGAACGAGGATGACCTGGGTGATGATGAGGTGGACCCTTTCAGTCCTTTTATGCAGAGGTCGAACAGCTTCTGTGGGATTGCCCTGAGGACCCACTTTCAGTCATTGGCCGTGCCGTCGCAAGCTTGCTGGACAGCACGATAACCAGCAGCAGGAATGGTCGGAGTGGGAGGAGTCGCCGGCTACGCAGCGGGCTACACAGTACAGAGATAATTCATGGGATAGATGGCAGCAGCACTCGTCATGGAACTGGGCCACTTGCAGCCAGGACTGTGGTGAGGTGCCGAAAGACGTGTGGCACTCAGATGGTTCCAAAGGCTGAGGAGGGGCAGACTGTCAGTAAGGGCCGCCGTCGAAAGCCGCAGGATACACAGCCGTGTGGTCAGCAGCCAGCCCGTGTTGTGAAGTTGTGCAACGAGCGCCATCCTGGGGATGTGAAGGGCCAAGAGGCCCGCAAGCTGAGGTCGCATGATGGTGGTGTTCTGCGTACCCCAACGACTGGAGCCCTCATGCTGAGGACTGGGGAGCTGATGTCAAATCGTGCAAGTCCACCAACCAGGCTATAGATGAGCCGAGGGCGCCTTCTGGCGTACCCTAGGTCCATTGAGGAGCTTGAAAAATTTCGCACCCTTGTTCAGTCCGGTGCCTCAGACCTCCAGTTTGCTGTGGTCCTGTTGAAGGGCCATTTTGATGATTGCAGGCAGGAATTTTCCAAGCTCAAGTGGTCGGAGGCTCGCATTCTGAAAGCACCGGTGCTTGTCAACCCGCGCAAGGTGATCACGCCTCCTACTCGTGCTAAGGTGAGCACACTGGTCCTCCGTCAGATGAGTGCTACGTTGATCAGGGCTGGAGTGAGGCTACAGCCAATCCCGGATGTGCTTTCCGTTCTTGGGCTTCTGAAGCGCTTGGTCGCATTCGTGACACTTAGACTTGAGAGCTTGCCCAGGGAACTGGTGGCAAGCGTGCTTGCATTCAGGGCTTGTGGCATGAAGTACAAAGGTGAGCGATGGATTATCCAGCCTCTTTGACAAGAGTTGGCCTGCACATGCGGCACGATGTGTGAGGCAGGCTAACCCATGTGGGTTGGCCGGGGATTTCGCAGTCTCGGCATCAGGCGAAATGGCACGCCAGAGGATAATCCCACCGACAAGAAGGTGCATAGACTTTGGAAGGCATGCGGGGTCCCGCGTGCCTGGACTTTTGATGAGCTGGAGTTGTTTCTTCAGCAGGATGGCTGTTTTGGAGGCGTAGACATTCAGGAGAAGCTGCCGTGGCATGCCGCTGCGGCTTGGACGTTCTTTGAAGAGATGAACGTTTCCATTGACTTTCGTGCTCTGACTCTGGAGGACACTTCAGAGGTGGTGGAGTTCTTGCGACTTGGGCGTAGCCGACGTGATCTCAGCAACCGAGCACTGCCGTTGGAGTGGAAGCAAATTTTCGGTGGCAAGACGGAGTCTCAGGCACAGCGTAAGCGCCATACGAAAACATCATTTCCTGGCGCGTTGGTGGCCCCCATTTTGCCGAGCACTGGCAGTGCTGACACGAGTGGAGACGCCAAGATGAATGTGGCGAAGCCGGCAGATGATGGCGAGGCCAGACTTGATGATGGCAAGACTGCAGCGAAGTCGGATGCCGGCGGCCCGGCAAAGAAGCCGAAGGCTGCGATCTATGGCTTGGCGGTGGGCATGCCCAGGGCAGGTCTACGCGTTCAGCTGCTGAAATCCGCAAGTTGGCAGTGACCCATATCCGCAAACATTTCAATTTGTAAGACGGATACTCGCATGGTGATGCCTCAGACTCTGAGGGCACCGATGTCGAGAAGCCAACGTAAGAAGTTCAGCCAAAAACAAAATGAATTAGGAAATTGTCTCCTTCGAGGTCAGGGCACCCTCGACTTTGTAATTTCTATTTGTCCTGTACTGTCGAAGCAAAATATATATGCGCGGCCGCTGAGGGGTTCAACTTCTTACGTAACCAATGATTTCTTAAACAGTGCT